GACAGCCTCTCACCCAGCCTATTTCCTAGAGTTCTTTCTTTTCCTCCTCAGAACCTCCTTAAACAGCCCCCGGCTAGCGGGCATTGGCTGAAGCAGGCGCTGCCCTCCATCCCGGTATTCCGGATGACCTTTAGCACATTAACTGCTTCAGGCTCGGTAGATTCTCCGCCCCTGGGTGGACATCTGACATGCTAATGAACAAAGATGACTAAGTTCCTCCTGCGCGAGGAATCGAACCCAGATTTTACAAAATGTGCTTACTCATTCTAAGATGCTCCGTGCCTGCGGGAGCCATTTTGTAGTCTGAAACTGACGCTTGCTATATAAACCAGCCTCAACAAGCTGCCGGGAAGGCAGCCTTGGATGGCACGCTGCCTCGTCTGTCTCCTGGCTTTGCCAACCAACAAAGTTGCCTTTCAGTTCTCCCCAACTCGGTGCCTGCCTTTTTGGCACTGGAGGAGTTGCGCCCAGCAGAAGCCGGAGTTCCCGGCGATAGAACCGCCAACCTTCGGCTGGTAATTGAGTGCTTAACTGTTTGAGCCACCCAGGGACTCCTTGCATTTGGGTGGTGGTTGTTAGATGCCCTAGAGTCGATTCTGACTCATAGCAACCCTATGTGACAGAGTAGAACTGCCCTACAGGGTTGCCTAGGCTGTAATCTCTATGGGAGCAGATCATCAGGTCTTCCTCCCTTGAAGCCACTGTTTGGGTTCCGACTACCAACTTTTCCTTTAGCAGCCGAGCACTTAACCTTTTATACCACCAGGGCACGTGGGTACTAGGCGCCTATTTGTTAAACGAGTGACTATTCCCTGAGGACGATTAAGTACAGATTAAGTCCATCTTCCAGAGGAACAAACGCGTTTAGAGCGAAGCGTCCATTCTCCTCCCAGCTTCTTCCTAGAACTCAGCTGCTTGCTTCCAGCACTTTCCAGGAACTACCCCCAACCCCTAGGGCAGGAAGGCAGAAAGGAGGGCCTACAACCGTCATAAGGCAGCGACCCAGGTCAGCTACTACGCCTTTATAAGGCAGCTAGGGGTGCTGGAAACCTTAGCTTCAAGCCTGGACGCGCAGTCCGCCCCAGCGTTTACCCCGAATCCTTTTGCTTCCGGGGGTGAGAGGAGCCCCAAAATTGCCCGGTCCCCCAACCCCACCGTGCGCCCCCTTCCGGACCAGGCATAAAATGACGACG